GGCGGCGGCGGCGGGGCTGATGAGGACGACGATGGCGAGGATGGGGATGAAGGGGAGGAGGAAGACGAGGTTATTCCCGAGCCCTCGCCGCTGTGCCCCGTCCCTGCTGGCGGGGGTTTTTATCTGGTGCCCACATTTTCGCTGCCGCCTGCGCCGGGCCGTCTGGAGCGCTTGGGGCGCGTCATGGTGGAGCTGGAGGCGTTGCTGCCGCCTCCCGGAGCGGTTCCCGGGGGTGCCGGGGTGTGGGTGCCTGGGGGACGCCCGCCGGTGCTGCGCGGGTTGGTACGCGTGCTGAACCGCTCCTTCGAGAAAGCGGTGCACGTGCGGGCCTCACACGACGGCTGGGCTTCCTTCTGCGACCACCCAGCGCGCTACGTCCCGCGCAGCCCGCCTGGTGCAGGAGCAGGAGGAACAGGAGCAGGAGATCCCATCCTGGATCCAGGTCTCGGCCTGGGCCCTGGCCAGGCATCTGCCTCCTCACCCGACGACGGCGGCCGCACCGACCGCTTTGCCTTCCAGCTGCCCTTTGCTGAGGGCGCGGGTGATGGGGCACGCCTCGACTTCGTGGTGCGCTATGAGACCCCCGAGGGCACTTTCTGGGCCAACAACCACGGCCGCAACTACACAGTCCTGCTCCGGATCGCACCCGCTCCCACACCCAGTGATGTCGAAGGGTTGCTCCAGCAGCAGCAGCTGGAGCCACAGCCTGAGTGCCAGGGTCCGGTGGAGGCTGAGGCCAGGCAGCTGAAGAGCTGCATGAAGCCAGTGAGGCGCAGGTAATGTCTGCCAGCGCCACCTCCGCCAACACAGGGCTGTATGTAGAATGGAGGGCAAACATTCCTGCCCAGGAACCCCTCAGGCCTTATCTTCAGAACAGGGAGGAGAGTGCAGTCAGTCAAATAGTTGTGGAGGCCAACCATGTGCTAGTAACTTTTAATTATTGGGATTTTTCATTTATTCATTTATTGAGCTCCACTGTAAAGCCCTAAACAAAACAGACATCTTCCCTCTCCTCAAGGATCATACAAGCTCCTGTGGGAGACAGTTTGAAAAAAACAACAAGTAAGCAGATAAGTAGGGATAAGGTTAGCTGCTGAGAGGAAAGAAGTATGAGGAGATAGATTGGGAGGGAATGGTTGTTTTAGAGATTGTGTTCAGGGAGAGCCTTTTAGATGAGTCCTGGATAATGAGAAAGAAGAGATGGGGGGAAGAGAATTGGTAGAAAAGGGGCATCATTTAAACAGTCCTGAATGATAAGGAACAGTTATGTACATATAGGTAAGGAAGGTTCTAGATAGCCTGAATGGCAAGTGCAAAGGCCCTGAGGCTGGAATGAATTTGGTGTGAATGAATGGGCAGTGTGCTGGAATGGAGAGAACTGAAGTGACATGGTAGTGTGGATCAACAGCCTTGCAAGTGATGAATAGGGAATCTGATCCCCATCTGACAGAAAAAATCAGGGTTCCAGAGGTGGAGAAACTGGTTGAGGAAGTGATGGCGCCTGGCTTTTTGACACCAGCCCTGTCTGACTTCGAAGTCTGTGCACGTTCTTTACTATTATGCTCTGTAATCTAGGTTGAGGCCTGCAGAGATGAGGGACTGAGGCCATGCTCTCAGGGAAGCAGTGGTTTTGGCAGAGGCAGAACCAGATGGGGAGTAGACTTGAAGCTCATGTCCCTTTTTATTGCCACACTTCCAGTAACCATTCAGGGACTGGGAGAAAGAGCCAGTTCTATCCCAGGAAGCTTTGATCCAAGATCTTCGTAGGTTTCCTCCATTATTATATAAGTTTTAATGACAGCCACTAGGCCTGATTCTTTATGTGGCCATCTAAGTATAGCTTGTGATCAGTAGGTTTTCTCTAAAGTGCATACAATTCCCCATTCCTGGAAGGACTGGAAGTGGGAAAATGCTTTTTTTTGGACCTTGTATATGCTTGACTAGATGTTGCTGGTTGCAGTGAGGTGTTTGTGGGATCTGTTGGTCCTGGGGAAGCTTTAGGCTGTGAGTGGTTCAGAAAGATATATCTCGTACCCAGCACTGTGATGCCCACATGTATCCTCAGCTTCTTGGGAAGCTGAGGCAGGAGGATCACTCGAGCCTACAAGTTTTGAGACCAGCCTGGGCAAAGTAGGTCCTTTCCCCCTTAAAAAAAAAATTAAAAGAAAGGCCTTTCTCACGGCTGGTGGGCATATGTGCCTGAGTGAGTGAACAAACAGTCAAGTGAAGTGCCTGCTTACCACCCTGTGACCACCCCGCCCGCCCCCCCCACCATACCTGAGATTTAGTCTAAAGGAGGTCAGCAGCATGATTACTTACTTCTTTAAGAGTGTGGATTCTGGTGTTGTGGCTCAGTGGCAGAGCACTTGCCTAGCATGTGTGAGGCACTGAGTTCTATCTTCAGCACCATATATAAAAATAAATAAAGGCATGCCATCCTTCTACAACTACAAAAAATAAAAATAAAAAAGTGTGGATTTTGGCCAGGCACCGTGGCACACACCTGTAATCCCAGCAGCTTGGGAGGCTGAGGAAGGAAGATCGCAAGTTCAAAGCCAGCCTCAGCACCTTCATGAGGCCCTGTCTCAAAATATAAAATGGGCTGTGGTTATGGCTCAATGGTTAAGGCCCCCTTGATTTAATCCCCAGTAACAACAACAACAAAAGTGTGGATTCTGGCATCAAATTGCTTGGGTTCAAATCCTAGCCATTTCACTTACCAGCTTTGTGAACTTGGCCAACTTATTTTTTTTAAACATTTGATTCAGCTGTGTTTTTTTAATCTTTATTTTATTTTTATGTGGTGCTGAGGATCGAACCCAGTGCCCTGCACATGCTAGGTGAGCACTGTACTACTGAGCCACAACCATATAGCCCCTTGGCCAACTTATTTAACCATACTGTGCCTCAACTGACTGTATCATCTTATGTAAGACAGGCGATTATGGGCACCTACTTTACATGATACAAATAAAAGCACTCAGAACCAAGCCGGATTCAAAGTGCCATAGAGATGTTAGTTATATTGATGTTTAGTTATTCACATGCAGTTCTCTAAGTTCCCCTACTAGACTCAACTCCTATCACCAGCTGTGTGGCCTGGCCTCAGTTCCCTAATTTGCTAAAGGGGAGTGACCATCATGTGTGGTTGAGTCAAATATAGCAAATGTGGGCAAGGTAACTGAGGCATGGTAGTAGCTACATAAGAGTGGCCAGCATTTACTGAATTCTGCTGAGAGTTCCAGGTCCATTCTCTCATTGAGGCCAAGTGTGCATGTATACGGTGTAGGTGCTATAATGATGGTCTTCATTTAAGGGGGGAAACGGGGAACTCAGGTGAGCCAGTTTGCTCAAAGTCACTCAGCTAGTGAATGACAGGACCAGGTAGAAATGCTAAGGACATTATTTTTTTTAAGTGCTGATCCTCTTTGAAGTTCTGGCAGGGTTCAGGGAAAATTCTGGATTTCATTCTTGGTGTTCTTAATGTGTTGTGCTTTCCTTTTGCCTTTATGTTTTATTGAGGTATACCTACAGAAAATGCACTGCTTAAGCATACGACCCAGTGGATTCGTACATATGTATGCACTTATATAACCACTTCCCAGATCAAGAGATCCAGTAGTTCTAGTGCCCCAGAATTGCTTTCATTTCTATCATTTTTCCCAAGTTGTCATCTCAACCTAGTGTCATGGGAGCCCTTTCTATAAGATGAGACAGTTTGAGTAACAGAGTTTGGTCATTTTTAAGAGTTGTGAAAAGCAAGGGACAGAGAAATCAAAACCTTGCTAGGGCAAGGTGGGTGGAAAGGGTGTTTTTCTTTTAAAATACATGAGTGGTTTTAAGGAGAAATTGAAGCAGCCCGTTTAGACAATTGTTTTGGTAGGTGGCCCCAGGTCTGTGGTTCCTAACATGACTTGTGATATTATTTTAAGTGGGCAGATGGCTTTTTGATAGTTTCTTTATCTTTTGATCTCAGCTCTTGCAAAGGGGAGGCTGGTGCTCATTGCAAGATCAGCGATAAGGTTTTCTTTGTAGGTTCGTGGCTTTCCTGGCGAGTACATTTCAACTTATTATTGTTTTAAAACCTGTGTGCTGCTGATTACTTGGAGCGCTGTTCAAGAGCCACCCCCTGTGATCCAGACCTCTGGGGAAGTAGTGAAGGATCTCAGGGGATATCCTTTACCTGTGGGAGCCCCATTGTAGAGGGCTTCAGGAAATACTGGCTGTAGACCCCCTATGCACTGGATACGACCATGCCAGGTGGGGGAAATGGGAGAAGTCTCGTGGTCATTGGGATGTAATTCAAAAGCCCCAATGGCTGCTTTCCCTGGGTTGTGGGACCAGGCTTTCAATTCCCCATTAGGCTTACAGATAATCCATCAACAAGTGTTTATTGATAACCTTCTGCATGCTGGGCACAGTGCTGGGTTCAAGCAGGGGAAAGGAGATTCAGACTGGTCTTAACATAACCAAGGGCTTTTGGTGGAGCTGGGAGGGAGGGGCAGTGTGGAGAACTTGTCATGTGAGACCTGGCTGAGACCCTGCTCTTTGCTAGGCACGTTGCCAAATATTTTTGTGCAAAATTGTAGTTACACCTGACAGCAGACCCTGTGAGCTGTGTTTTTTTGTTTTGATTTTTTTTTTTAGTTGTTGATGGACCTTTATTTAATTTATTTATTTATATGCGGTGCTGAGAATCAAACCCAGTGCCTCACACTTGCAAGGCAAGTGCTCTACCACTGAGCCACAACCCCAGCCCCACTGCATTGTTTTTAATCCCTCTTTCTTAGATGAGCAAACTGAGGTTCCTAGAGTCCCAAGTTCCAGGGCCGGTGTGGAAAGGAGCCCTCTTGGTCTACCTTGGCTTAACACTCCAAGAAGGTCTCCTGTTCCTCTTAAAAACAAAGACCAACAAAGCCTAACCATGGCCTTCAAGCACCTTCCACTCTAGTCTCCCAATCTGGCCTCTGCTGGCTTCTAGGCTTTCCTCATACTGGACTCTGTTCCTGAGTTCTTTCAGCCTGGTCTTTCTGTCACTCCCAGGGCCCTGGCTCTTTCCTGCTTCAGGACTTTTGCTCATGTTCTTTTCTTTACTGGTAATGTTTGTCTCTCGCAGTCTCGTGGAGTGGATCCTGCAGTTCTAAGAGGGCTTCCTAGGGAAACCCATCCACTTCAAGCTCCTTGGGTTCCCAGTTTTTCTCATAGTACTGGGAAGCCTAGCAGACATGCCCTGTTATAGCATGTTATAGCATGCACAGCAGATGAGCCCCACCCCAAATTCTCCATCATTTTCTACCCTGCAAGGCAGTCCTGCTGTATTTTTCTGACCCACTGTTATCGCTTTCTCATGTAACTTTTTCAGATGTTCTTTATCTTCACATTTCTCCTCCTGCTTCCCAAAACACAATAGAAACCATAAGAATGGAACTCCTTACAATTTGCAGCCTCTATGTCAAGTTCTCCTCTCCTGTGTTACAGGTGAGGAAAAGTCCCTTCACCTTTAGGCCAGTTCCTCTGCCTATGCTCCAAGTTCCAATTTTCTGCTACCTGCTGCAGAATATGAACTCGTCAATCCCTCTTTTTGTCCTGGCAGCTTTTCTACTGCCCTCCCTGATCCTCTCTGTTGACCTTTCCCCCTGCCAGTGTTGCTATCTCTACTGATCTCCTCTCTGCCCTTGGCTCCTGGCCAGCACTGTAGTAATCTCCCTCCCCATTCACTCCCACCCTATGGGAAGGATTGGCCACATGCCCTTTCACTCCCTGCTCACCCCTATGT